GATGTCATGGAGAGGAGGTGGTGTTGTGGCAAAGGTTGGGTTTGGGGGCAGATCTGTGAGGCTGAAGTGGCCCATAGATGTGTGGGGTGGGATGTGGGGGTCTTTGTGGGGAGAACTGGGTGGGAAATGTGTCCCTAAATGGGGCTGGGGGCATCGCTGTTGTCTGTCGGGGTTGGGATGTCATTGAGAGGAGGTGGTGGTGGTGTTGTGTTGTGTCAATGGTTGGGTTTGGGGGCAGATCTGTGGGGCTGAAGTGGCCCATAGATGTGTGGGGTGGGGTCTGGGGGTCTTTGAGGAGAGAACTGGGGGGGAAATGTGTCCCACCATCACCAAACCCCCATAGAATCCCAGAATCATTGGGGTTGGAACGACCCCAAAGACCTTAAAGGTCCAGAAGTTGACCCACCACCATCGTAACCCCATAGATTCCCAAAATCATTGGGGTTGGGAGGACCCCAAAGACGTCCAAGATCCAAATGTTGACCCACCACCACCGTAACCCCATAGAATCCCAGTATGATTGGGGCTGGAAGGACCCCAAAGACCTCCATGGGGGTTGGAAGGACCCTAAAGACCTCCAAGATCCAAAAGTTGACCCACCATCTCCATAACCCCATAGAATCCCGGAATCATTGGGGTTGGAACGACCCCAAAGACTTTAAAGGTCCTTTAACTGACCCAACACTACCGTAACCCATAGAATCCGAAAATCATTGGGGTTGGAAGGACCCCAAAGACCTCCAAGGTCCAGAAGTTGACCCACCACCACTGTAACCCCATAGAATCCCAGAATCATTGGGGTTGGAAGGACCCCATAGACCTCCATGGGGGTGGGAAGGACCCCATAGATCTTAAAGGTCCAGAAGTTGACCCAACATCACCGTAACCCCATAGAATTCTCCAGTCGTTGGGGTTGGGAGGACCCCAAAGACCTCCAAGATCCAAAATCTGACCCACCACCACCGTAACCCCATAGAATCCCGGAATCATTGGGGTTGGAAGGACCCCAAGGACCTTAAAGGTCCAGAAGTTGACCCAACACCCCCATAACCCCATAGAATCCCAGAATCGTTGGGGTTGGAAGGACCCCAAAGACCTCCATGGG